GCTGTCATGTTAAACTTATATTAAAGTTTTTCTTCATTACCCATTTAAGCCGTCTCCAGCCATTATTAGTTATTTATGATTTTTTTGGTTATTCAACTATATACATAAAAACCTAAAAAAATAAGTTGGTATCAAATTGTAGATTATCATTCAGATCTTAGTATTATACAGTGCTCAATTTCTTAATTTAGAAGTAAATATTAAAAAACACAGTTAAAGACCGATTTTTGGTGTCACGTGGTATGCTGAATGCAGCACTGCTTCGAATTAGATACTTCTGATTTTTGGAAACGGTCCCTTATATACACTTTCTTCAATATATGATATGTGACTAACCAATTGACAGGTCAGAATGTCTCTCTAGTGGTTTTCTCAGCAATTTTAAAATGTTGGGAGTCCCTCTTATTTTTTCAAACCAAGATTTCAGGCAGGTAGATTGTGTATTTAGTCTGCTCCAAATTTCATATTTTTTAGACCAAAATTAACTTTGTTTGGAATTTCGCGCAAAGCTACACGAGGTCTATCTGCACTAGCCGTTCCTAATTTAACATTGTAATACTAGAGGTAAAGAAGTTTGTCATCACAACGCACTGCCCCTCTTTTGGTATACTCGTTTACCCTCAAATAGCGGGATTGACCATCACATTATAACGCCCCCACGGTTGAAAGTGCGAGCATGTTTGGTGGGACGGGGATTCGAACCCACGACCCTCAGATTGAGAGACGAGCATCTTAACCACCTAGCTAAAATACAGCTTAGTTACTAAGCTTGATAAATTATAGTGGAATTCTTTGATATTGACAGAGTAATTAATGATTTTTTGGTTATTCAACTGTATACATAAAACCTAAAAAAATAATTTCGTTTCATATCCTCCACATGCGAAATTTTAAAAGGCTTAGCAAACTACGTCAAGCATCAACTGAGTACAAAGCTTGTAACTAGAAGATACAATTGTTTGCTTCTGTGTTTTAAGAAAAATATATTTAATAACTTATTTATAAATAATAATAATCTATATACATATATAATGTATACTAAATGTCTACTATATATAATGTCTACTAAAACCCAGCCAAGACAGGATCAGTTTGTAAAGACTGAAGGTCTATTTTATTTTATTGGATACGGTAACACGTGTGCCGCATCTTTACAACTTCTGTAATGTTAGCCAGGCATGGCTGAAAGGTCAATATTATAAATATAATAATATTATGAGATTTAAGCTATTTAGTCTAAACATTTATGTTTTCGTGTTATAATTTGTAATTCTTCTAGAATGAAAGAAGCATATTTTATATTTATTTCCTAATTTTTTATGTTGGTTAGGAGATCGGCGAAATCTATCAAACCCGTAGAGATTCATTAGTGAAAATAACAGATAAGATAACAAGTTTTTCCTTAAGAAACGTTTGATAATTATCTGGACATTATATGTCTGCGTACTTACAACGATAGAAACCGGGTTTCGATACCCGTGGTGGGTACAACACAGATAGCCTATTGTGTAGCTTTGTGCTTAACTTCAAACAAACAAAGATTTCACATGGGAAATTTGAAAAGTTTCTGATGTATAAAGATATTTTTAATCTTAAAATGAAAATTACTTTGCATGTTGGATAGGTAATAAGTGAAAAGAAAGAAAAAAAGTATGATAAATTTTGATTAACAAACCTTAAGAATTAATATTTTGCTTATGAAAGCATTGTAATGTTAACTGATAATCTGCCAAATTTCGTTAACATACGCTTACTAATTTAGAAGTTATATCATGAAAACTATAACAAGCACACAATGGTTTAAGTGTTGTTATTTTTCTATATATATTTATTTACTTATGATAGTAATTTTGTGTGTGCTTTTCTATGTTATTTAATTCTTTGCTTAAATATCTTTAAGATCTTGTGTTAAAACCAAGTTTTTTTATATCATATTTCTTTACTTCACACATAATTTGATGGAAAGCTTCACTTGGTAACTGATGGCTTTCGAAAAAATGGAGAATCGTGTATATCTTTGTTTTAGGGCAAAGCCATTTTTGGCTATCTTCTGTGCCCACTACGGGGAATCGAGCCCCGAATATTTGCGTTGTAAGTCTTTGAACTGACCCACCGGGGGTGATAAAAATTGAAAATGTTATGTCGCTAATGTTATGAAAATATAAGTACGTTTTTCAGTTGATTAAAGTTTGTTTTCAGTTCTTTTGTTTACTTTGTGTGTATGTCCGTGCGCTCGAATATGGGCATGTTTTCCCATTATATTTGAAGAAATGTTTATTGTCGAGTAACATTTGTACTTTACGAATAATACAATATCTCAACAAGTTATCGTACTGTATATATATATATATATATATACAGTCCGTCTGTCCACAAAATTCCTCCCACAGTTTAAGTTCGATTTGGACGAAACTTCCCACGATTTTTCAACATCATAAGGGGAAGTTCCTAACAAAGATTCATTACATTGTCACGAACTGGATCGCCTGACAACATGTTTATACTCACAAAAAAGTCAGATAAGAAAACTCGCAATGTATCAAGAAGTTTTTCAATCAGTAATAAAATGTTTAGAATGTTTACTTATATTATATTGATTGAGATTGTCATAATAATATAATTGGTCAGAAGAACCATCAATGCCTTTCCAGAAACTATCACAAATGGTCACCATATTTCCTGAATAGCAAGCAATATGCTTGAATCAACATAGCATGATGAAATCCTGTGCATGAAATTGTTGTGTAATAGCTACACAAGGTGAAATTAATTCATCTAGATTGAACAGTGAAATATACAATGTAATAAAAAAACTATAAATCCAAAAGGTAAAACTGTTTGTAGAATACAAGACATGTACTTTACTGTATATCTGTTATGAAGAATTTTCCTTAATATCCATTATATACAAAATCACCAAATCTTTGATGAATAACTTTGTGCTTATTAGTACATTAATCATCATTCTTGTAAGCTCGTGTGTTATTAAGTTCTACATTAATTTCTATTTTTTTATTAGTCTGTACTTCAGCTTTTGCGTAATTTTTGCAAATCTACAAAATTTGTATTGGATCCTTTTGTACTGTTGTTAAGTTTGTTTGTTTTAGAACAAAGCTACATTGAGCTATTTGCTGTGTCCAGGAATCGAACCTGGATTTTAGCGTTACAAGTCCATAAACCGGGGGACATGTGTTTAAATTTATCGACATACGTAAGAAGGATTTTTTTCACAATAATAATTTTTACATAGATTTCCAATAAACAAAACACTGCTTTAGCGATTACGCAATGAACCTCAAGCTTGCCAACATATTTTCTATTATTTTATAATTTTTACATAGATTTCCAATAAACAAAACACTGCTTTAGCGATTACGCAATGAACCTCAAGCTTGCCAACGTATTTTCTATTATTTTATTGATAGATCATACTTAAGTTACTCTGTTATCCATGTCAGATAGAATATTTATCTCGTACTTTTAAATTTATCGTTCCTCAAACTTCAAAATAGTACTACCTCTGTGTTTTTTCTCTCTCTCTTACTGTCCATGAATGTAAACTTAATCTCGTCATCAGAATCTCTTACCTTGTCAGATACCCACTTCATGTTGACAGAGGGTACTCCAGCGTAAAAGGCAAACGGTGCATGGTCAGAACCTGACTGCAATATTTGGACTCTAAATATGAGATTTAGATAAATAATAGAGAGTTAAGTTGATCGAAATAATCATATGTATCCTTCCATCTAGTTAGGCTTAGACTTACTTTTTTAAGATTAATGAATAACAAGTTTAAAATTTCATGAACATGAAATAGAACCAGAGAGACAGAGAACTAGAGCAAGAGAGGATATTAATACACAAATACTGATTATAAAGGTAAGATTGAATATTCAAAAACATCGCGGAGTACGACAAAATAAACAACAAATCACAGACTTATCTGAACAAAAGAGAACATTAACAATAACTGCACATGTTGCAAGTATTGCTTACTCTGGTTCAGCGTTCGTTTCGTTGGTAGTTGCGGACTTCCAAGTCTCGTATAAAGTTTTCTGTGGGCTAACGGGATCTGGGACCTGTAGATTGTAAAACTTATGACACCGTACTACAAAATACTAATAATATATTGTCTTTCAATGTCAAAGTTAAATCATAATCTTATTATATAGACGTAGGGTGTATGTCAGTATCTAGGTATGTAACCAAAACTACAGAAAAGTCTTTGAACATCAACATATTGATGCAGAGATGGAATGCCCAGTGTTTAAAGACTTTTCTGTATTATTAGAGTGTGTTTTAAACTTAAGAAGAAGATTCAAAAGAAAAATTGTGCTGAAATAGAACAAGATCTCGATGTCAGAAGTAGTGATTGAGACTTATGAAATGTATCGATATCTATTGAATGGCACCACAAACAAAAATCCATGAAAAAATTTCACTCTTTGGGCATTCATACAATTTGAAAAAAAATAACTGTGGTATGTGCAACAACCATTTCTTTATAGTAGAACACAATTTTAAATAAAAGTACTCTCCTCACAACAAGAACACGACTTTCGCTAGTTTGATTATATCTTTATTGATGTAATTTTTAAAAGTAGTATTAAAAACTGGAGTTTTTAAATAACTATTATTTTTTCAATAAACGATAGCACTTTTAATCTATAAAAACATTACAGTTTATATCAGTAAACTGTATGGACATTTTGAGCTCTGTACATTTAATCATTTTGATGCAACGAGTTGCGTATGACTAAAGAGCACAATCCGAACTCTTTTTTTCCATGCAGTACTTCCCAGAAAAATAATACTTTTTTTAGAAAATGTTAATTTTTTTTTTTACAATTTTTAGAATTAAGTATGATTACTATGATTAGTAATTAGTAGCACAAATAGCCATCCGCAGAGCGGCGTTTCCGCTGGTAGAATGTACTGGAAGAAATAGAATTTGTGTCTACAATAATAACCATTATATATTTCCACATTTTACTTTAAATCTACAATATTTTAGTGTTAATAGAGCTGTCGGTTTTAATGTTAATATGATTTCGTTGACGTTGATCATAACATTTGGCAATGCTCTGCCAGTGACACAAGATATATTAGTAAATCTTTTTACAAGGACAAAAGTCCTATTGCTGAAATGTATTCGTATTACTTTTGTCACAAAACTTGACCTTTCACATAGTCAATACACAGACTGTTTTATAGCTCTTTATATGATGACTTGTGTATGCTAGCACAGTGGTGAATCTCCACAAGGGTGTACCTTGTGAGGCACCACAGAGAACATGTTTATATTATATACATTTGGTTCAGACCGTTTAACAGCGCAATCCCGCCAAGGAGAGGACTTATGAATGGGGTGTTTTTACAGCCTTTCCGAAGAAAACTGTTCCTATAACGAGTTTGGCAAACGATATAATGCCATTTCGGTAAAGGAAGCTTTCAATGTTCTCCATGGAAGCAAAAAAAGCTCGCCCAGCAGAGCGTTTAGGACAGCAGCGAGTTCAGAGTACAGATTTTAAGGCAATGCCGTGAGGTTTTTGGCTACAAACAGAGAAGTCCCCCGATATTGACCCAAACGTTTATCATGGTAAAACAGGGAATATCTCCAAGCTCCGTTAACAAGATAATATACAAAGATTTGAAATTAATAAAAGCTCAGAGCTTCCAGACACACTTTGAAATCAACAGCTGTTTTCATAAGAAGGATGGCCTAAGAAACTGGGATCACAGCAATTCCATTTAAACATATATCAATCATATTCGATGACGAGGAACCCACTTTGAGACTAATAATGGCTGGAGACGGCTTAAAT